CTCCTGGTCAAGGTACAGATTCCTCATGAGTACAATCAAGTGCTCAGGAATTCCCATTCTTCTCAATGTTATCCATAATTTGTCATGATCCACATGCTACCAGAGCCTTCTTAAACTGACAGTGCTTCTGAAAATATAAATCCATTAAAATTTTCCATGAATATGCATTCTTGGTTTCTTGCTGAGTTTTTTCTGTAAGAAATGTAGTTATTCTTCTCTGAATGACCACCTTAAAGCTGAGTTCAAAATTAGGGTTATCTGTCTCAGAAATTTTCATTGCATGAACCCTTCCAAAAGTTACTTAATAGTGAATCTACTGTGACAATTTAAATAATGGTATCTTCTAACACGATACTTGTTATAAACAAAGCTGTAGTGTAAGGCAAGAGTCATGGTGGTACAACAGGTAAGTGCTCAGCTGCTAACTGAAAGATTGGTAGGTCAAACCCACCTAGCAGCCCTGTGGGAGAAATACCTGACAATCTTTACATCAGCAGTTCACCAAGTCTTGTCTCCCTTGGAGCAGTTTGTGGGTTTGAACCAGGGTTCCTTCTGGTAAAGATGACAGCTTGGAAAACCCTATGAGGCAGTTCTGCTCTATTACATGGGATCATTTTGAGTCAAAATTGACTCTTTGACACATAAAAACAGTGTTAAGGCACTGCCAACTTGCTGGGGTTGGCAAAAACTCAGCAAGATGTAAGCTCAGTTATAAATACTGGTTTGGGTTATTACTAGGATCACTGTCAGTTATTTACAATAAGAAAGGCAAAAGGGAAAGTAAAAAAGTAAAGGCATTGGCTTCATAGATTTATCCTCCAAAAAGTTTAAGCTCCTCTAAAATATATTTTGCAGCAAATCTTTACAGAAGTAGATTGCCCCATTTTCCTTCCATGGAGGGGCTGTTGGGTTTAAACCACCAACCTTTTGGTCAGCAGTCAAATGCCTTAGGCACTGCACCACCAGAGTGCCTTAAAATATATCTTGGGTAGATAGATAATATAGATACCCTCAGAGAACACAATTTTATAGTAAATAATCATGAGAGAGAATATTTCAAAATTAATAAATAATAGTTTGACATAAAAGAGTTCATATAAATTGTTAAGAAAAAATACTAAGCTTCTGACTAGGAATATATTAGCAAGATGTTAACAGACAATTCAGAGAAGAAAAGGCTAATAAATATAAAGTAATCTTCCTCCTAACTGATATCAAAGAAATGCAAATTAAAATAATACTCATCAAGCTGGCAAAGATTTTTAAAGTTGTAACTACTCAAAAGTCACAAGATTGTTTTTAGTGGGAACAGAGTTTGGAACAAATCCTTGGGAAAGCAGTTTGTTAATATGTACCAAAAACTTTAAAAACTACCCTTTGAACCTTTAATATCAAATAATAATAAACCATAATGTTCACTGTAGACTAGTTTCTTACTGGGAAAGAATTAGAAAGAACTTAAATGTTCAGAAATAAGGAAATGTCTAAAGAATATTTCTGACTTATTATCATACATTAAAATTCATATTTTTGAGGAATTTGAATAACATGTGAAAATACTCAGGCTCACAATGTAGGACTAAGTAAAAAAGTATATAAAATTGCATATATAGCCAGATCCCAATTATGTGTGTGTGTGTGTGTATAATTTTGATAAAAGACTAGAAGGAAAAATAACACACCAAAACATTAATATGGCCTTCTCTCTGTAGCAGGTGATTTTCACTTGCTTCTTTGTATTTCCTATAAAAAATACTACTTTTAAAATTAAAGAAATATATACATATAATGTTTATACATCTCAGTCTCATAATTCAGTTCATAGATATGTATTCTAAAGTAGTAATCCTGAATATAGAAAAAAACCTGCTTTGTTTTCAATCCGGTGTTATTTATAAGGGCAGAATATTGGGAAAGGTAAAAGTAAATCATGGTACATCCAGTTGGTAGACTATTATGCAGCCATTAAACTCAAGTTTATGAAGAGTTTATGTAATATGGTTGTTGTTAGTTGCCATCGAGCTGATTTCAACTCATGGTGACCCCAAATGTGCAGAGTAGAGCTGCTCCATAGGATTTTCAAGGCTCTGACCTTAAGGAAGCAGATGGCCAGACTTGCCTTCCAAGGCACCTCTGGGTAGGATTGAACCACAAACCTTGTGGTTAGTAGTGACCATTTGTGCCACCCAGGGACTCCAATAACATAATAAATGTAGATAATTAAATGAAACAAATCAGGACACACAATTATATGTATAACATGATCAAAAATACTTAAAAACTTATGCTGTTAATAAAAAGACTGGAAAGTCACTGAAAGATTAAAACAAATTATCTTTGTATGGTAAACCTTGGGTTTATTTTCCTTCTTTGATTTGATTATATTGATTATACATGATTTTTATTTTGAAAAAATGTCTCAAAAACTAAAATTTTACTTAACCTATGAGTAGTGAGAATTGTCAGTGATTATTATTTTCTTTCTTATTTTCTTTTCCAAACTTCCTCTATTGACATTTATTAATTTTTATAATTAAAATATAAACATCATTTTATAAAAGAATGGTGAGTAAACTAAAGGCATTCCTCCTTCCTCTTCTATGAGGACTATTCTTTCATGGGAGCTGCAGTTCCTGTTTTTTGAGCTGCCTTGTGGCAGTCTTGCAGGCTACCTAAAGCTTTTGCTAAGGAGAAATGCCTGTTACCCCATCTCTGTTAGCTGCTGGCTTGCCAACTGCCCCTCCTCTGTCAAGTCTTTGTAAAGTCCTTGTATGAAATCTGACTCTTGCCAGTTAAAAGCCTATGAAATCATCTTACCAACCTACTTTCAGCCACAATGGGGTAAGCTGGGCTTCTGCCCCTTCACATCATGTGGGGATTGTGAGATTGGCTTCCACCCACTTAGGAGGCAAGTGCTTTGGCCCCAGACAGTCTATATCTATGGCAGTAGGGCAGTGGGGGGGGGGGGCAGTGCAGAAGGTTGCACTCAGTCCCTGCCATCAGCCTACCTACTCCACACATGACTCATAGCATAAGGAGCTAAGTGGAGATCTCTGTCTTAATGAGTCCTAAGTAACAAATTTTGATAGAAAAATCAGTGCAGTTGTCCAGCATCCTGCTGTTAATAATGGGAATTTAAACAATAGCTGGTTTAGCTGGTTTAGACTTGAAGTTACACTACAGAAATTTTCATTCCCCATCCCCACAGATGTTTGGGTTTATATTGATGTTATCTAGTTAAAATGCCTTTGAAAGTTAACTATCTCAATAACTGCTGAGAGAGGGATTCCCTGAATTAACTGTTGGGAGTACCCAACTCACTGCCGTCCAGTCGATCCAACTCATAGTGACCCCTCCTTGGATTGCCAAGGCAGTATCACTACAGAAGTAGATTGCCCACCTTCCTTCCAAGGAGTGGCTAGTGGGTTTGAACTGCCAGCCTTCTGGTTAACAGTCAAATGCCTTAGGCACTATGCCACCAAGTTCTTGCAGCCTGCCTGAATGCCTGACCTGCTCTTGGCTCACGTGTTGGGAGAGTGTGGCTTACCAGATCTGATGCATTTGCAGTTCCAGGAGATGCCTATACTGATTATGTTGCTACAAGATGGTACCGAGCTCCTGAACTTCTTGTGGGAGATACTCAGTATGGTTCTTCAGTCGATGTGTGGGCTATCGGTTGTGTTTTTGGAGAGCTCCTAACAGGCCAACCACTCTGGCCTGGAAAATCAGATGTGGATCAACTTTATCTGATAATCAGAACACTAGGTATGAATTATTTTATGGCTTACAGGGTTGCTATATTGTTAAGAGTAATAGTATATTATTTTAATGCAAAATAAGAGCTTTCTTGCTTCTCCAAATTGCTATTCAGGATGGTGGTTCCAGGTTTTGGGTTGTAGCCAAAGCCCAGTCCTTTCTTCAATATGTAGAGCCATAACTCCTCTCAGGGAAGAGTTTTCAAATGGCTTTTCACATAAAATCCATTAGCTATGGAATAAACTACATTTACTTTCTACATTGTGTTAAGATAGGGTATTTTTATCAGCTGCCTAAAGCTTAATTTCATAAGGTTTTCCCTGGCCAAATCTTTGAGAAGTGGACAGCCTCTTCCTTCTTCCTAATCTGTCTCAGTCTGTAAGCTGGGCTGATACCTGTGCACTATGTGCATCCCGCTGGGTTTGAAACACCAGTGGCTTAGCCTCAAAACTCACTTCTAGATGTCACCACAGTAGGACAAACCGACAGACAAGTTTGTCTCCCTGTTGGAAACCTCTCATACCACCCTTACCTGGGTCCCTGAGGCTGACTGACTCCTCCTCTGTCTAGATTCCTGGGCCTTTTAATTCCCTATCTCCTGCTCTTCCACTGTCCCACCCTGCTGCTTTGGGCATGCCTGAGTTCCCTCTCTTTACCTGAATCCCTGTGGCTGACTGCTCCTCTCTCTGGGTTCCTGGCTTTTAATCCCCTTTCTCCTGCTCTCCCGCCTGCTGCTTTGGTCATGCCTGAGTTCCCTCTCCTCACCTGGATCCCTGCCGCTGACTGCTCCTCTGTCTGAGTTCCTGGTTTTTAATCCCCTTTTTCTGGCTCTCCCGCCCTGCTGCTTTGGGCATGCCTGAGTTCCCTCTCTTCACCTGAATCCCTGTGGCTGACTGCTCCTCTGTCCAGGTTCCTCGCTTTTTATCCCCTTTCTCTGGCTCTCCCGCCTGGCTGCTTTGGGCGTGCCTGAGTTCCCTCTCCTCACCTGGATCCCTGTGGCTGTCTGCTCCTCTGTCCTGGTTCCTGGCTTATTATCCGCTTTTTCCCGCTCTCCCACCCCGCTGCTTTGGGCGTGCCCTCTCCTCAACTGGATCCCTGAGGTTGACACAGTGGCTGCGATGATGTATAGCAGGGATCATGGAGCTGGTGTGGGATTGGGCAGTGTTTTGTTCTGCTGTACATGGGGTCGCTCTGAGTCAGAAATGACTCTACAGCCCCTAACAACAACAACAACACAGCTTAATTTAAGAGAGATTTGATCCAGTGCAATTTCTGTCCTCAGTAAAAGAGGGTTTCCCCCTTTACTACAGGGCAAGGGTCAGCAAACATTTTCTGTAAAGGACCAGATGGTAAATATTTTAAGTTTTGCAGCTTATTTTTGCAGGCACTTAACTGCTGTTGCAGTGCAAAAGCAGCCATGGACAGTACTTAAACAAATGAACATGGCTGTGTTCCAATAAAACTTTATAAACTCTGAAATATGTATTTCATATCATTTTTGTATGTCACAAAATATTTTTCTTCTTTCAATCTTTTTTTTTTTTAACCACTTAAAAATGTAAAAACCATTCTTAGGTCATAGGCCATACAAAAACAGGGCACTGGGCCAGATTTGGCCTGCAGACCATTGTTTCACACTCCTGCCCTAGAGGTTAGAAGTCTGATTGTACTTCCTGATCAGGAATGGCTGTTGGAGTTTAAAATAATATTAACACTTCTCTTCTATACAGTACTTAAGACTTTACGAATTACTTTTATACACATCTCTTTTCAAGTCTTAAGGAAAATCAGTTCAGGGCATTATAACATTTTTAATTGTGCCTGTTTCACAAATGAGGACACTGAAGCTGAAGAAGCTTCCATGATGGGCCTAAAGTCATACAGCCATTTAAGTGCAGAATAGAAACAGTAATCAAGGGGTCTCTTTCATGAACTTTCTATCATGTGTTAGCATTCTTTGCAATGTTGTCTCCCTCTACCTGGTTGGAAAAGAATATAACCTAAAGATTAGCAGTAGTTCATGCCAGCAGCATGGATGCACAGAAAATGATACCTTCCCATTAACTCTCCTGTGGGCATGGCTGCTGGGCCAGAGAATTACTGCAGCCTGACTCAGTTCCCATTTGGCTCCAACACATTCTTTTGGAGAATTCTTCAGCCTAAAAAATACGGACCACACTACAGGCCACACCTTACAAATCTATTGTTGTTTGATTGATTTCCTAAAATGATTGTGGAAATTTATAATGCACTTTGGCAGACCTGAGTTTGAATCCTGGGTCTGTCACTGAATAAACTTAGACAAGTTATCAAACCTCTCTAAGTCTCATTTTCCCCATCTATTCAGTGGAGATTAAAAATAGCATCTACTGTTGTGAGCTTGTTACCAGATTAAATGAGATAATGTATGTAAAGCCCTTAGATTATTTTCTCACCTCACCTTTCAACAGCAGAGTACCAAACCACATTTGGCAAAGAGAGTCATATGGTATTACTGACCTACCTGAGCCATTGCCCCCAATTCTGGAGGGAACACTCAGGCTCAATATTTCTTTCATACCTGGACCCCTGAAGTTAACCATTTAAGCACTATTACTTATATTATTGTGAGTTATGTGGTTTGTACATTACAGGAAAACTAATCCCAAGACATCAATCAATCTTTAAAAGCAACCAATTTTTCCATGGCATCAGTATACCTGAACCAGAAGACATGGTAAATTGCTCTATTTTGGATATTTTATTGTTATGTTGCTACTTTTTTTTAAAGGGTTAATTGCTAGCTTTTTAATATTTGTGCTTTTGGCTCCTGTTTTCCTCATAACACACTAATACTAGATCAAAGAAACTATAAAACTACATAAAAATGAACCAGATGAATGCTTCAAAATTTTACTTGTCTTATCTATTCCAAGAATAGATTTAGTTCTTTACTAAATTTGATCCTTTTGGTCAAAGCACCAGGATAACTTTCCCTTAAATAATTGTTTGTTTGTTTTCATTAACAGTGTTACTGTAGTCCTTTAGTTTGGGGGAAAAATGCGTTCTAAAAAGGATCTACAAAATGATCTTCATTGTATTTGTTAAACTCCAGATCACAGTGATCACCTGTTGCTCTCTTAATGTGGTCTCTGCCTTTATTTCTGGATGTATCAATGACTACTTGTCTCTCTCACTCTCTGTAGACATTGATTTCCTGTGTATGTTACCTCAGTTTGGATCATGACCTTTCAAACTCCATATGGTCTACCTGTAGAAATCTATCTGTAGAAAGGACTGCCAGAAGAGGTGTGTGTTCACACTCAAGCTGTGTTGGAGCTGAGTGGTATATAGATAGGGAAAAAAGTCTGTGAAGCCAGATCATGATTATGACACAGGTGAACATCTGAGCTTCAAATGGCCCCGACTGTCTCTAGATACTCTGTTCATTTAAAATCTATTATCTTCATATAATATCTTGATTTATACAGTATTTATTATAATTTTTAAAGATTGAATAGAACACAAGGCTAAATGTTAAAATCAAAAGAATATTTATATAACATGTATATAAATTAAGAATGAAATACAACACATTCATGTGTGCTTACTCTACAGTTAAAGCAGTACAGTGTTACCATTATCTTTGGAGCTTCCTCCTCCCCATTTGTTCATCTTCAATTTCCTTCCATTTCCTCTATACTTTTCTGAATTGTGTGCTTATTATTCTGTTGCTTTCTGTAGCAATCTTTTATATGTTGTCCTACATAGTTTCATCAATGCTCAATACATCTCTGTAAGTAGAGATAATGCACAGATATTATAGTACTGTTACAGGATTTCAGGTGAGTCCATTGGGACCTGCCTGTTCCCAGTATCAATTGCAAGACATTTGCAATTTAGAAAATAATTCCAGTTCTATGTCTTTCATAACTTTACACTATAACATTTAAATTATGTATAAAAACATGATTTTAAAAAACTTTAGAAGGAATTCTCTAACCTACTAGGGGTCCTTTCTCTAAAGTGTTCATGTTACTAATACATTCAAAATATACATTACATTGTTGTGATGTAACATTGAAATTCTTTACATTGTATTCCAGGAAACTCTTGAAGAAAAGTTCTTAGGTGCTCATCTCATGGCTTTGAATTTCATGAAGGTACTTCAAAATCAATTATAACTGTTACTGATTGAAAATTGTAATAATTGAAGCTGGTAACTTTAGAAGAGGTTGACAGTAGGGCAAATACCACCAAGGTAGGATACAGTCATTGAAAATAATAAGGAGCTGTAAAATAATTACAATTAAGGGAACCTCAGTAGTTTCAGCAGTAATATTTCTAAATTAAAATTGCTAGAAGACCAAGAAGTCAGAGCCATGGAGACACCAGACGTAGCCCCTACACCAAACTCAAGCGAGATGATCAAACAAAGGACAATTTCTAATAAAAAGCAGAAAGAAGTCTCTCTCTCTC